GTCTTCACCTTTTTGTTATTTGCCTCGATCTTGTTTTCCCCTGACTCAATTCGTTTTGTTAATTCTTCGAGCATCTTCATGATTGCAGGATTGGTCTCCAATTCTCTCTTGTTCAGTTTCCTTGAAACCGATTAGACCATGTGTACAACTTCCTGGGATAGCTCGAGCTTGACCCTACTCGGTAGGTGATTCTGGTTTTGGAGCTGGGCTATCTCTATATGCCTACAATATTTCGAAGATCACCCGCAGGCTGATCCCGCCATCTTCGCCGCTATGTGCGCTTTGAGAGGTTGATCAAATATCCCCACGGATGCTGTCGTCGGTATCGACAACCAAATTTGCATTGATGGCTACATGTGAGATGACGTCGATTGGATCTACAGCCGAAACTCCGTCGAGGCCAACCGGGGGTACATCGTTCCCTGGTGCTATGTTATCATTTTCGTCGTGGTAGCCGAAATCATTGTCAATGTGTAGAGGTGCTAACTGAGAGTTTGCCATTTTGGTCCTCGAATTAAAAATGCTTCAAAGAATAAGTGTAAAATGGTGTGTGTTATAAAAGTTTGTACCAGGTAACCACTATTATCCTTAGCCCCACGGTGGGCGCCAAACTATTTAACCTTAAAATTGGATAACAATTGAATTTGTACGCAGTTTTAATGATACGTGATATAACTTGATACAAATTAAGAAGACAGATTAATATTGAAATTAACGATAATAAAATAAATGCAAACCACAAAATTGAACAGCCTTAGCTTCTGAGTTTGGTCATCCTCGAACAAAGAAAAGTCTCAACTAATGTTACAATTGAACAATAAGATGATAAGAACCAAAAATGATTAGTATATTGCTTTCTTTTGGCGTGTTACAATGTATCTTACAAATGATCAATACCCCACTTTATATAGTGGGGGTGTTCTACTTTTGGTACAATTCTATACAAGATAAAAAATCTCATGATTTGCTAATTAATCGGCCTCTTCTTCATACGTGCCGAGATTTTCGCCGTGATCCTCGATCGACTGCGGATATTTCGGCTTTCCGTTATTTGGCTCGGTGAGTTTCCCTCGATCTTTCTCGGTCTCGATCTTGCTCAGTCTCTGGGTCACGATCTCGACGATCTAATTTTGCTGCTTGGTTCGATATAACCCGAGCACGAGCTTTGACCTGCCATATTTCATCCTCGATTGGTCAAACAATGGACAAACCCGATTTCGACCGTATACAAGTCATTCCTGGAGTTTTTAATTTAAATGGAGGATATTTTTCCAAAAAATATCTCGTGTCAAAAGAATAGCTAAATGCTAATCGCTTTTTAAATATTGATTAAATTCTAATAGCAGCGATCAAAAATAATTATTTTCCAACCTCCTCCACATAGACACGAGGTCGGAGTAAGTTCACAGATGGCCCCTTGGATCCCTATTTAAAGAATAATCCAAGTTTATAACAACTTTTAAGTTTATTCGATTTTAAATCAACATTAGACTGGTACAGGAGGAACCAGCATTAATTCTTCTAAAGTTTACCAACAATAACCACCCAGTAAAATTTCACCTAGTGGGGTCTGGGGAGTGTAAAGTGTACGCAGACCTTACCCCTACCCCGGAGGGGTAGAGAGACTGTTTCTGGGAGACCCTCGGCTCAGAGACAATAGATCTGTGACAACAAAACCCGTAAAAATAATATCAACAACGTGAGAGACAGCAAATAAATGGAAAAGCAGTACCACAAAATTATACAAAAGTGTGAAACACAACATAAATCGACCGCTCGACTACCCCTTAACCTACAACCCTTAACCTACAACCCTAATGCTCGACTACCACTTAACCTACAACCCTAATGCTCGACCGCCACACCTTCCTATCTAGAGCCATGTCCTCGGAAATCTAGAGCCATGTCATGTCATGTCTGATCACTTCGACCTAATACTTCTTAGGACGCCCTCTACCTCTTCTCGTACATGCCAAAGCCAACCGCTCACACCTCCTAACCGGGGCATCTAGGCTTCTCCTTTGCACGTGACCGAACCATCTAAGTTGCGCTTCCCGCATCTTGTCGTCCACCGGAGCCACGCCCACCCTCTCCTGAATATCCACACTCCTAATCTTATCCAGCCTAGTGTGCCCACACATCTACCTCAACATCCTCATTTCTGCAACTTTCATCTTCTGGATATGTGACTTCTTGACTGGCTAACACTCAGCCCCATACAACATGGCCGGTCTAACCACCGCTCTATAGAACTTACCTTTGAGTTTCGGTGGCATATTCTTGTCATACAAGACTCCAGACGCTAATCTCCATATCATCCATCCCACCCCAATATGGTGCGTAACATCCCCGTTTATCTCCCCATCTCCCTGGATAATTGAACCTAAGTACTTAAAACTTTCTCTCTTGAGGACGACCTGTGAGTCAAGCCTGACTTCCACATCCGTTTCCCCCGTCACTTCGCTGAACTTACATTCTACATATTCCGTCTTAGTCCTACTCAAATTGAAACCTTTAAACTCCAGGGCCTGCCTCCATACCTCCAGTCTCTCATTAACGCCGCATTGCATCTCATCAATCAGAACTATATCATCAACGAACAACATACACCATGGCACCTCTCCTCGGATATGGTGTGTCAGTGCGTCCATCGCCAGGGCAAAAAAGAACGGGCTGAGCGCAGATCCTTGGTGTAACCCTATAACCACTGGAAAAGGCTCTGAGTCACCTCTCATAGTCCTAACCCTAGTCATAGCTCCATATACATATCCTTTATCGCCCTAATGTAAGCCACCGGCACCCCTTTCACCTCCGGACATCTCCAAAGGACGTCCTTGGGGACCTTGTCATACGTCTTCTCTAGGTCAATAAACACCATATGCAAATCCCTCTTCTTATCCTTGTATTGTTCCACCAACCTCCTGATAAGATGGATAGCTTCCGTAGTAGAACGACCCGGCATGAACCCGAACTGGTTTTCCGATATAGACACCTCTCTCCTTATCCTCCCTTCTACCACGCTCTCCCAAACTTTCATGGTATGACTTAATAGCTTGATACCCCTATAGTTGTTTACAATTCTGTATATCACCTTTGTTGTTGTACACCGGAACCATTGTACTCCACCGCCACTCATCAGGCATCCTCTTCATCCTGAAAATAACATTAAATAACTCAGTCAGCCACTCCAAGCCTGCTCTACCCTCATATCTCCAAAACTCTACTGGAATCTCGTCTGGTCCGGTCGCTTTGCCCCGACTCATCTTACCTATCGCACCCACGACCTCCTCAACCTTAATGCGCCTACAATACCTAAAGTCGCGGTGGCTTTCGAAGTGCCCCAATTGCCCTAACACGATGTTTCCATCCCCCTCTTCATTCAAAAGTTTATGAAAGTACGACTGCCATCTTTGCCTAATCTGGGCCTCTTCCACCAATACTCGACCGTCCTCGTCTTTGAGGCACATCACTTGATCCAAGTCGCGAGCCTTCTTCTCTCTCGCTTTGGCCAACCGGAATAACTTCTTGTCCCCACCTTTGCCCCCAAGCTCCTCATACAGCCGACCAAATGCAGCAATCTTAGCCTTTGTGACCGCTAATTTCGCCTGCTTCCTAGCCTCCTTATATCTTTCTCTATTTGCTCCCCTCTGATCCTCGTCGGTGCTCTCTACTAACTTAATGTAAACCGTTTTTTTGGCTTTCACTTTACCTTGGACCACGTCATTCCACCACCAATAGCCTCGGTGCCTGCCAGAGTAACTTTTCGAAACTCCCAACACCTCTCTCGTTGCCTCCCTTATACAGTCCGTTGTTGCCGTCCACATAGCGCTAGCGTTCCCACCACTTTTCCAGGCACCCATAGTCGTCAACCGCCCCTCCAACTCTCGCGCATTATCCTTAGGCAAGGCTCCTCACCTGATTCTCGACTGACACCGTACAAACCTCTCCTTCCTCTTCATCAAGATACCCACATCCATCACTAGGAGCCTATGTTGAGTTGTGAGGTTCTCACTCGGGATCACCTTGCAATCCTCGCACAACCCCCTATCACACCTCCTAAGGAGGAGATAGTCAATCTGAGCCTTAGCCACCATACTCTAGAAAGGAAAGTTTGCCAACACTAACTACAAATTAATTACTTTGGGAAAAGCTGAATATAGCTTAAATAATAAGATGGAAATCGATTACCCCATGAAATTCTATCATAGACACTCATACCTGGAAAGAATTACGGACTCGGTAGTTTGTAGGAAATTGAAGATTGCCATTGGGCAGAATATATTGACAGCCCTTAGACTTGCCAACATATTTCATTTAGACGCTCAAACTAAAGTTTGTTATTTAGACGCTCAAACAAAAACCTATTCCAATTTGAGCACATGAACACATGATAACTTATTAAATTCAATATAAATACCCTGTGCGAATAAGTTTTGCCCATGATAACTAAGGAAAACATCAGGAAACTTATTTGGATAATTGTATTTTTTTTAAAACTATCCCCCATCTATTTGCTCAACTCAAACCGACTCGGTGATAGCCTTAGATAGAGAGCATAAGCAAAGGTAGAAAGCTGGGACCTTGATCAACTCGCCAACAATCAAGTGGAATATGGACGTTTATGCGTGATTCTCTCCTGCAAATCAAGGAAACAATTGAAGGACAACATGTAGGTTAACAGATAAAACGACCAAACACGCGATCAAATCTTGGTCTTCTTGAACTACCATCGATAAGTAATACCTGTTTTAAATATAATTTTGCCACCAAAATTATAGCATCATCTTTCAATCCAACTCCCTTTTGGGGCTGATAGGGAAATCGCCAAATGTAAACGACCCTTCCACACAACCCCCCACACCCCACACCCCAACTTCAAAACCCAAAGAAAATCCCAATATTAACGCTAAAACCCAGCAGGCAAACATTGGTCATATGTTATCCAGAAGTTTCCAGCAGCCAAAAGACTGCTCTACTAAATACATAGGTGAAGATTCAAATAACTTGAAAGTTAATAGTACCACATTTCATCTGGTGGTTTTTTACACGTCTAGATCAGATAGCAGAATAGCACTTACATCAACGGATTAGTTTCCAACCACAATCACAATTGTTTTGCTAACAAAAGAAAAATGTCAGATACTGCACCAACTATATATATGTATAGAGGAGAGCCAGAGAAGGGACTTCTCTACTCTTCCTCCCTTCTTAAACTGAAAAGCATTCTCCCTGCAAGAACAACAATATCATTGTCATGAACAGTGTTAAGAAATCAATACAAATAAATAAATTCAATGTTCCAGAAAAGAGGGATTGGATGTGGGAGGAGGGAAAGGAGCCTTAATTGTACACGAAACCTACCTCTATCAATAGCATTAGGTTTAATAGCTAGCGTGTCGAAGCACACACTTCTTCATCCACAAGAAGGGCTCTTTTTACTTTAATCAGTCATCCCATTCACTTCAAAGAACTTTGCAAGAAATATTTAGAACACGAAGAATATTCCGATTACTCAGTCTACCATTTTATTTTGGAAGCTTTGCAGAAATCTTCCAAAGCTAAAGTACCACGGGATGATCACTCATAACCATTGGCGGTCCAACTTAGAAATATAATGTGAAGTTCAAAAATTGAAGACAATAGCTAAATAGTAAATCATAAAGTAAGTTAACAACATCATAGGCAGATGAGAGTTCAAGCTAAAACATTACAAGTACTATATTGGAAGAGGCAGAAAGTAGCATCCACAGATGCCCAGTATAAAAACAAATTACCTCACCTCATCTAAAGTTGGTTATTAGCAAGACTGTATCATCTCTTCCTACGTCTTACCTCACCTTCAGTCATAGCAGAGAAGACAGTCCCTTTCTCTTTAATCTGACAGGCAATAACTGTCTCTCTCCCCTCCCTCGAACTGCAGTCCTTCCTCCTCTAACCCCTCCACCAACATCTTCCACCCACTTCCCTTTAAAGCAAAAGTCCCTTCTCTCCACTTTCTCTCTTTCACTTCCCTCCAACTAGCCTATTCTTTCTTCTTATGGGAATTGGTACAAAAATAATTAAAGTCCAAAAAGGCCTGCTAGTTATCAGGATCCGTTAACTCTGTAAGAGAAAAATAGAAAACCCAACTTTTAACACAGTATAGTGGGTGCATTTACATATAATCAGAACCCAACTTTCATATGCAAAGACAGCTCATCTCAACGCAACAGTCCAGCAGAAACCAATATTTTATTCAAATAATCCAGTAAATCATCAACTTCCTTTATTTTTGGGGGCAGTTTATGCATACCTTGACTATCAACTGGATACCTGCATGTTGTGAAAGGGAGCATGGTGTTTGGGTTTGCAGGAATTTGATAAATTGTAGAGACAATGGGAGAAAAGCAGTGGTTAAAGGGACTTCTGCAACAATTCATAGGGCTTTAGATTAGTGTGGAAATCAGCTAGGCGAGAGAAGTTGGAGAAGCACGATTAGGGTGGAGCTGAATTGTTTTCCTAATAAATGGGAAGAGGTGGAGGTGGAGCAAGATTAGCAAATGGAAGAGTGCCTAAAGTGTAATATGATTACCACTGCAAAGTCTTAATATGTTATTGCTTTTAGAACTACTACTAATATAACCTATGAGAGAACTACAAGCTATGCCACACGGACTCTCCAAAATTATTGTCGGGTGCGTGTCAGATCCTCCAAAAGTAGTGCATTTTGTAGGATCCGACACCAGTGAGGCAACATTTTTGGGTGTCGGTGCAACATAGACTACAAGAACTTTATAAATAAAATGCAGCAGGTATTCTAAGCTTTCATCTATACTAATCAAGGAAACAAGCAGCCACCAGCATATATTAGTGCCCCTTGACGTTTTCCTATAAGAAACTAGAATAGGGAACCACGCCTAAAAATTTAAGATAAAAAAATATATTTGGCCACCTTTGCTGAATAATGTTTTTCGTGTACTTTTTGATTGATAAGGATCTTTATTGAATGAAATTAAAGAAAGTCTGGGAAGGCCTCCACCTTTTGGCGAATCAGAGACTTGCAAATGACATTCAACTGTCAAAACAGGAAATAACTTCAAGTTCAGGTAGTGCTCTCAAAAAATGCTTCCATAATTTTCAATGTGAATTAACCCATAATGATAAGATATAAATATCATCAAATGTTCTACAATTGTAAATATTGTTTCTCATGAAAATTTGAAAACTAGGAATTGAATGCATACCTAACAGTTCTGCAATATTTAGCTGTTTATAACTTCATATACTGGTAAGCAATAAAATGGAAGTAAGACTATGCAGTGATACACAATGTACTCAAAAATACCCAACGGCTAGCCCCTCCATCCAAACTTTGTTTTCGGATCAGACATTCTAAGGTGAAAGTGGCTTCTGTCAAAGTTAATATGCAGGATCGAATTTCAAAATTTTTACAAAGGATGGGAAAAGAATATATTAAATAAAGGATGCAATCATGTAGAGGGTTCAGAATTTTATCAAACTATTCAATCATTTTGAAAAAAGACTTTGACAACATATCTATTTGAATGAAAAGTCAACTTGGACACAAGACTATATGATAGATGGATTAGCATTTATACTAATTACTAAGTAGTAATAGAGAACTAAAAGAACAACAAGAGAGTCAAGTGAGTAGCCCATAGTTTACACATCCCAAGTTGTAACTTTCAAAAACAATCTGTCATAGACTGATTCATTTTTCTGTAAGGTCGAGGAAACGGAACCAGTTAGATGATTTTCAAATCTATCTTGGACAAAAATACGGCAAGGTTTTATAATTGAGAAAGCATGATTAGACAACTAGAAAAAGTTTGCCAACTAAGATAGGACAATCTTAACTTCCAAACCTTTAGAAGCCAGATAGTGAAACGGAGAATTAAATTCGACTACTCCTATAACATATCAGCAAGATTCTTTAATACTTTATAATGTCTTCCCCTATCTCACTAGGAAAAAGAGAATCAGGATTTAGAGATATACTCTTGTTCCCCAAATCCAGCTAGTAGAAAACTTGATTGCTACTATAGAGCTTGATCAAATAAATTGCATGCTAAGTGTCCATTCAAGGGGAAGCAACAATAAAAGGGTAATATAAGATAAAACATGCATTTCACTTACCTCTTTAGTCTAATTTAAACTTCTCTTTTAAAGTTCCAACTTGAATTCCTCTATCACCAAGACATCTTCTTCCTCAATGTTTCCGGCTCCATCTTTTTTCTCTGGTTCTATCTTTTCCTTCTCATCCTTTTCGTTTTCACCCCCATCATTTCCACCCCCATATAAAGGGACAAGGGTTCCCAAATTGACAAATGATTCAAAAAAGTCCAATCCACCATTAATCTTAGCATGTTTGAGGGACTTCTTTTCTAGACTATACCATAGGAACTTCCTATTATCCATTTCCAGAAGAACTTCCTTACCAGTCACTGAATATGCTATTGGCCTCAAGAAACTGAAATGTTGACAACCATCTAACTGCTCAACTGAAAACAACTTTATCCAAGACTCCTTCACTCCGTAATCCTTCATCACCCATATGTCGACATGATCTAACACATGATTCTTTGCATTAGTACGAACAACGACGTGACCTGAAATCAAACAAAGGCATTCTCCCAAGACTGCCAAATTTAAATGCAATGGCTTGCCCAAATTCTCAGGATATGGCACCAGCTCAAATCTCTCACTTCCAAGATTGAGACCTATAAGAACCCAAGGGCTCCACTCTGATGATGGTTCCGTAGATGCAAGCCAGTGCAATGCACCTGCAGCAAACGTGCCATTGTCTTCCTTAACCAACCAGTATGGACAGTCCTGAATCTTCTTCTTCCACAAACCCAACTTCAAACTATAAACCATTGTAACAGTAACTAAGGAACTACCGGAGAAGTGATAAAATTGGGCTATTTTAACGACCTTATAATCATTGGCAGAAGTATCATACCCAAAACCACCACAAATTTGGCTCAACCCAGCAACCTCTCTCGGTCCATGATTCTGTGGAGGGTTAACGTGACAAACCGGCAGTTTCCGGAACATTTTAGTGGATGGATTCCACACACCGTTGTCACTCAAGTTGTTGGATATTAAATCAAACCATGGCAAGAGCCGAGTACCTGAGTTGGGCCATAGGGCTGCTTCAGTGGATGGTCAAGTTCTTCTAGTTGGCTACTAGAGATTGAACTGAAGTCGAGGGAGAAAAGCTTGTGAGCCTTGAAAATAAGCTTGACATCTGAGTTGTGTTTCAGTACCTGTTGCTTGAGGTGTGCTCGGATGAATTTGGGGCTATCAATTAGGGCTTTGAAAGACTTGCTTACGCACCTGAATCTTAGCAGTGACTTCACCGGCAGTCGGTAAAGTATATCGTTAATTACTTCCGGCGGAACGTCCGACATTGTTGAGTGGAAATGAAGGAAATGGTCACTGCCGTCGGTAGGGTTTTAGGATATCTACTACTACTAGTATTTGTAGTAGGGTTTCCAAATGGAAGATAGGTGCTACAGACAAAGAAGCTTAATTTGATTTATGGATAAGGGGTGGCTAACTTTGTCTGCCTTTACTAGACAGAATATTGAATATTCCATATTGTTTTTTACCGGGAATATTCCACATTATTGAAAAAGGAAAAGGAATATTCCATATTATATTCCATTTTAATTCTGCTCATTTCTTTTTCGTTGTACATTAACTTTTGTCTTTACTCTTGAGTACAGGGAGGATAGTATGAATAAGGGGTATTTTTTATTTTTTTTTCTTGGAGAGTTATTTCATTGCTTGAAACTTATTTTTCTTTAACAAAAATTCACGCAAGTGTTTTATTGCGGCCATGCGACACAACTTTCTCTAATTTTTTCAAAATTTGCTTTTTAGCTTAATTCCTGCTCAAATCATCTCAATTTTTCGCCATCCGCTTCCTAATTCCTATATATAAAAATTCAACCATTGTGCTTAATCGATCATTTTATATCCATTAAAACACTTTAAACATACTATGTAGGTGTATTTGAATAACGACGGCAGTGTGCAATAAATATTCCAGAAATCAATGGCAATAATATAGCATTTAGTATCAATAAATAACAATAAATGACATTTAAATAAATAGAATGAATGAGTCACCCAAGAAAGGATGGAATCACTGAATGTTCTTTCTGACAATGATGAGTGATGAACAATCTTTTGAATATCTGAGTTATTCTCGGATCTAGTGGACAAGTATAGACAAGAATCTTAGTAAAAAGGTGATGTTTGTATACTTGCAATGAGATCTGATTCTCTTTCTCAAGTCAAAGTATATTTTACAAATGAATATCACATGTCCCATATCATTATGTCTCTTTTTATTTATAGGGAACGTGTTCCTAAAAACCCTAACAGCCCAAGTGCAGAGAATATTTACTAGAATATTCTCTTTTGTATCATATCTCGAAACTAGTCGTTACAGCTCTCACTACAAGAAAGTTGATCTATAGTGGCAACTTTAAGTGGCGACTCACTTGGTCGCGACAAAAGATAAGGGTATAGCAGCGATTACTATTGTCGCCGCTGAAAGCAGCCTATCAGTGACAACTGAAAATGAGTCGCTACAAAAACTAGTGTGTTTCGCGACAGCCCTGGTAAAAGCCACAAAGTATAAGGGCTTTTGTGGTGACTTTTGGTGTCGCCACTGAATCTATCACCCCCTAATTGTCCTATTTTGTACAAAAAATGAAGTGAACAAAAATAAACCCTAAAGTAATAAATCTCCTCCTCGTAAAATCTCTAACTTGCTCCCCCTTCTCAACCCCAAATCATCTTGAACTTGCTCCTCACTGAAGAGGGTCACACACTATCGATGGTGAACACACTCCTTTTTGTCTCATTATCCGGTAAATCAAGCACTGACTTCTTCCATCGTCTCTTCCTCTCTTGATTTTGTGCTCTCTACTTTGTTAAGGTGAAAAATCTAATCCTATTTTTGTATTGTGATGCTTTACAAAGTATGCTCATATTCAGGAGAAGCGATTACATCTGATGATGATTGGTGCATTTTTGCGGCATGAGATTTAGGGTAAGCACGATCTTTAGCGATTTTTGGTTATTTATTATTGCAAAAGTGTAAAATTAAGGCTTTGTCATGATATGGGATCTTCTTTTTAATATAATATCTACGCTCTCAACCTCGGTCTCGGCCTCGATGACAACTCTTTGACTTCAATCTTGCTGACTCTTCGACTGTGGCCTTCGCTGATAATTAGATTACTTCAACGCGTGGCATCCCATGAATGTTTTACTAATACTATTTCGAGTATAGATGAATGTTGACCCATACAGTTAGTCTCTCCGCTTATTGAGGTTGTTCCCGTAGACGAGGTCATTAAGCGGACAATGTCATTCATAATTCGATCTTATAGAGTTGACTGAGGTCGTGGTTGTGGAGACAGGACTACGTGGCCTTCTGAGGTCCTATATTTTGAATATTTTAAATTACCCAGGAAGTTCGTTGGGACCATCTGGTCCACGAGAAGAAGTAACGTCATGACACTATACATTATAACGATGCTGTTTCCCGACACATTGTGTCGGTTTAGGTGTGACCCATGATTGGCTCTGTCGTTCTGATTTTCGTGCTAATCATGACCCGCATTTTCAATTCTGGTGCCTTTAAGGAAAGGTTTGTTGGTTTTGAAACTTTTCCAAACTCTTTCTTCTCTTTAAGCAATAATCTCTCCTTCATCTTCTCTGCAGAACTCTTTTTACTCCTTGTTTCAGTGACTTGCATCAATCCTCATTCCTTTTTGCTTGTTATCCTCCTCCGTTATATTGAATCATGCCTAATGTGCCTTCTGAGGCTAGCAAGGGGAGTCATATTACTCCCTTGGCAATAGTGTTCCCTTCCCATGAAGTAGTGTTCCTGCCACCGTTGAGTATGCAACCTTCCCGTCGGTGGAAGAGATAATCCCACGCAACCATGATTCTAGATCTGATTTCACCAAATCACCGTATGCCAAACCTGAAGCCTTTCGGTCAGTGATGACGGTAAAAGAATTGGAGTAGCTTAAGTCTAAATTAGGCCTTCCCAATCACATTGAGTTGATCCTGGTCGGGTGGGATACGGTACAAGTCCATTGTCCTAGTTATTGCACCCTCTACGCCTACCCCTTCCAAGTCGGCTATTCTCTCCCCCTCCTTCCGCTGGTGGAGGAATGTTGTCATCACTACGTCGTTTGCCCTGCCCAGCTCGCGTTGTACATTTTCAAAGCCATAAATATGCTAACCAAGTTTTTTGAGCTGGCCCATGTCGAAGTGACACTAGGGCAATAATCCATCTATTCGCTCCTATCTTTTATAGGGGGACGATGTTGAACCTTCGCCACCGATGAGGCAAATGCTTGGTGGTAAAGATGGACGACAAGGCCAGTCGTTGATTCTGGTTCAACTTCTTCTATGTCAGAACCGAGGACGTTATGACCAACATCGATGGCTTTCTCGAGTCTTGGAATTATACTCGTAAGTATTTTGATCTCTTTCTCATATTTGGTCTTGAATTTTGACTTCTCGCCTTCTTCTTTTGCAGCCAATACCTCGCCTTCTCCTTTGGACACTCATATTTCTGACTAGGTCGATCGGCTCCTCCCTCACATCGCAGGGATTCATGAATGGACGAGTTTTTTCATGAATTTTGGGCTCGTTATTCCTTCGACTGGAAATTTCCTTTTTACCATCGGTGTCTTAACTTCTTTTTTTGTTTACCTTTGGTGATTTTCCCTTTTCTTATTTTTTCTTAGCTTCGGCCAGGGGATCTACGAGGAGGTCGAGAGCTCCTACACTCTCATTTCGGAAGAGGAAAGCTACTGTGTACTCGGTTTCTACCCCTGCTTCAACTGCGGCTGATCCTACCTTAGTTCCAGTCCCTCTTGTTGTTGCGTCCAAATCTGTCCCTACTTCAGCCGTGGAGACTTCGGCTTCTCCCTTATATTCTCTCATCGACGAGGATGACGAACCTTTGCCTGGTGATGGAGATTTGATGCCTCATAAGAGGAGGTCCATGGACGTCGGGGGAGAGAGTTCGGCAGTTATCGATGTAGGAGATTATGGCCTTGTCCTTCGGGAAACAACCATAGTGCATAACGAGGAGAGCGCAGAGGCGAGTCCCGAGGCCACTTCTCCGGAGGACATGAATATGAGTCCTGTGGGGATACGATCGAAGGCGTGGTGAGCAGTGACGACCCTGTTCTTTCAAGAAGTGAAGAGGCCTTGTCTTTCGGGGTTGTGGCAAACGTACCTTCATCGATCAATGATAGAGGGAAGGTTATTATTGAGGAGGATGTTAGATCTGATTCTGACATGGATGTAGAGGAGTTGAGAATGATTGACGAGGGGCTTACTCAACTTGAAGTGAGGTCGGAAGGGGGTTCAAGGACTATTATGATCTCGATGGATCGTAATCTTCTTATGGATACCGAGAAGATTATCGCTTCTCTTTTCCCTCTTTGTTCTGAGATTGAGTGTACGACCCTCAAAACTATAGATGACAACGCTCTGTCAAATAACATTGCTGGTCTTGCCCTTCGGGTAAGTACATTTGTTGTTAGTTATTTTCCTTAGGTTTTGTTCTTTTATAGTCTCTAACTTTCTTCATTCATTTAGTAGATGGTTGTCTTGGAGATTGGGAGTGCTCGTAGGGAGCAGACGAAAAGATGTATATGTGAAGTTGAAGGACAAGTACTTCAGATGCGTTGAGAAGTACCAGGAGCTTAGATGTCGGTTTCATGAAGGCAATAATGTGCGCAGACTGAGGGAGAACTTGAAGGCAAGAGATGATGAGTTAGTGCGGGTAGTGGGGAAGTGTAGCATCCTATAGAGGATGTTGAGAAGCAAAGAGGAAGAGCTTAAGCTTAGCAAGGGGGTCAAAGCATAGTGAAGTGATCTCCAAGCTCAGGTAGTCTTGTTGCAAGGCTAGCTTGAGGAATGTCAGTTAAGGGCGGAGGCTCTTAGTAGCAAGGTTGCTGAGAAGCAAGATGAGTTGGGGAGGGGAGTCTACACGATTGGAGGCTTTGAGGAAGGCGGATTCCCTTGAGGTGGTGATCTGAACTCTCCATTCTGAGCGAGATAATGATTTAAGGATGGCAAGGCTCAAAGAAGAGCGGCTCGATGAAATGATTAGGGAATTAGAAAAAGAGACTTCTGATCTCCACGATCGAGTAGCTACTCTAGAGACCGAGAAAGCTCAATTACTAGCACAGTTGTCCTCTTCCCGCACTTCAGATTTTCCCAATGTTCCTCAGGATTTATATAAGGAATGGATTCATGCCGAGGCCTAGTTTGATGTCTTTCGATATTTGCATGCGGTGGGATCTGTTTCTGAAGCTGCCCTCGAAGATATTCGTGTTAAGGCTCGTGAAGCTTGAGTCGTTTGTGGGTATGATCCCGCTACACCTGAGGCTGAGGAATAGGAGGGGGACGAGGGTATAGACCAGCTTGAGGAGAATGCCTGGTATGATATCGCTTAT